CCCGGAGCGCTCCCGGCTCTCCCCAGCCCGGGATACCCGGAGCGCTCCCGGCTCTCCCCAGCCCGGGATACCCGGAGCGCTCCCGGCTTTCCCGAGCTCCGGGATACCCGGAGCGCTCCCGGCGGTCCCCCAGCCCATACCTCGGATGTAGGCGCACTTGCTGTCGTCCAGCGGCGCGGAGGCAGAGGCGCCCATGGCTGGGTGCGGAGCTGCAGCAGCACCGCGGTCCCACCGAGCCCCGGCCGCTCCCGCCGCTTCCTCCGCAGGCGCCGCCCCCGGCCCGGCCCGGCCCCGCCCCGCCGGGCACGGCCGGGACCCGGCAGGGACCGGGCAGGGACCCGCGGCGCCCCTGGGCTGCAGGCACGCTTGTCCCCGGCTGCTCTTTGTAGCCCCACTCCGCTCTGCCCCGCTGTCACTCGTCACCGCAAAATCCACGTCCCCTCGCAGACACGGTTAGAGCCTCCGGGGTTTATCCAGAAGTCACGTTAAAAAGCGTGCCACAGTAAAAGCACGGTTAAACAGGACCAAAATACCTCTCCTGGAGATGTCCAGGAGGCAGCTGGGACTGGCGCTGGGTGATGGGTGCAGTGGTTTAGGGGTGACAGTGGCAGTGCTGAGATGACGTTTGAACACCATGATTTTAGAGGTCTGTTCCAACCTTGATGATTCTGTGATAAAAGCCCTGGCACAGGATGCCCAGAGAAGCTGTGGCTGTCCCATGATCCCTAGAAGTGTCCAAGGCCAGGCTGGACAGGGCTTGGAGCAAGCTGGGACAGTGGAAGGTGTTCCTGCCCATGGCAGGGGGTGGAATGAGATGATTTTAAGGTCCCTTCCAACCCAACCCATTCCATCCTTTGTGATTCTGTGATTTATGGCTCAGTCTTCAGGGGCATATTGTCCCACTCTTACCAGGAATATTCCAAATTTCTACTGTGTGTTTGATTCCACGATGAACAATAAACCTAAAAAAACAGGCACTAAAATACACATCACTTCAGTAAATATTTTCCAGTGATTGAAACAACTTCCTGAAACAGGCAAGTGCACCAGTCTGCAGATCCTCAGCACATCAATGTAAGTCAGTATGGAACAGATATCTGAATTCTCCTGCCCCTGAATAATAATTTCACATAATACCCAGATGTGATTTTCTAAAGTATTTCCTTATTTTTTGTTGTTTTTATAACATTAATCCAGCTGACTGGCCATGGGCAGGGTGCCATCCCTTATTGGGCCTCATATGTTTTGCATGGAGCTGATGAGTTGCAATGAATGTGGATTTTGCTGACACACTGGAGGTTCACAGTGACTGGAAGTTACTCATTTTACCATTAAATGCTTCTTATTCAGCTTGTACACATCTGCCACTCACTGTGAAATTGCTTGCACATATTTCAGCTTTGCTGACGTGGGCTGTGGGGTTAGTAGGTTTATCCTATGCCACTCAGCTGATCACAGAATGGTGAAACATTTTGGAATTGAACAAACCAACCATTTTGGGGTTTTTAAACCAACACTGAACTTGATCAGATTTGAAATATTGCAGATGATATGTGACATTGAGTTCAGTATTGTGCTAAGAAACCTCTTTCCTTTGAAAATTCATGTTCTCTGGGCACACACTGTTATATCTAAGTATGATGGAGCTTCACTACCTTGAGGAGAGCAGGCTCATCCAGAGCATCACTGAGCCAGTTTCTCACAAGTCTCTAGAGACCCCAGCTGAGCTAAAACATTAAATCAACAGCACTTCTAGAGGTCAGATGTGAACTAGGCTCTGTTTTAAATATATTTGAGAGCTCTCAGCAAGGTGGCTGCTGTAGTTTTCTCACTGCATGTATGTGAGCTGTGTGAGCAGACACCAGTGAGGAAATACTGGTTACTGGTGTGCCTTTTGAAGGCATTAACTCAGAGGAGAATTCAGGCTCTGCTCAGTGCAGTGTATCTTTTATCAAGTGTAGTTGAGGAGCTTTTCATCACATGAAATGAGCAAGTCAGCTCCAGGAGTCTGGAGAGATAAACCTTGGAGAATTCATGAGCCATGAAGTGGATTGCAGTTCTGTCCCATCATTTAGCAGATGAAAATATGCCAAATCCCAGAAGCTTCATACCCCAGAACAGATGTCAGACCTGAATGGGAAACCTCCCTGTGTAATTACAGCTAGGGTAAAAACAAAATGAGAACTGAGGAGTTTGTGTAGTTACAACATTCTATACTGTGTTACTGCTCCCCAAGATCCCCAGGCATTTCATAAACGCTTGCTAATTAAGACTGTGATTTCCTTTTTAAGATAGGGAAATGCTGTGTTTTAATAGCAAAGCTTCTGTCTTTATCCTCTTAAAAAGACACCATGAGAAATGTGAGCCAAATCAGGAACAGAGATAAATTATCCTATTTATGTACTGCTTCAAACAAAAACCATCTTTAAGATAAGAAATTTGCCACATTAACTTTTAAGCTGATGTGACACACCTGCACTGCAGCTATTAATGATAAGGTAATACAATCAAAACAAGTATTTCCCCACTTTTTCTCCTATGAAATCTTGATCTTTAAGGGTTGTATTTATCTTTACACACCCCAAAATTCCTTCTCTAAACACCTGTTTTGTATGATATCCTAGATGTTGTACTATATCCTAAAGGGCAAAATGAAAGTGAATTCCTGAGTGAAGAGGATCAGGAGAAGCCCTCCCTTCCAAACAAAGGGATGAAGATCTAGCTCTGTAGCCTCTGTGGCTTCACTTGTGGCACAGTGACATGGAGGGTGGTGGTTTCTTACATCACCACAGTCCAGGCTTCCTCATGCTCTGGACCCATGGAAGCTCTGGTACCCAAAAAGTGCAGTGCACTGTCACTGCCAAATTCTGCTTTGGGAGGGAGGGAGTGGGGGAAGGAAAGAAGGAAGGGAAGAGGGAGGGAGAAGGAGGCTATCTCCACAATCTCATCTATTTGATCTCCCACTGTAATAGAACCCTGATGTGCCCCAGACACGACAAGATCCATTCCCAGCACCGTGTGCTCACCATGGAATGAACTTCCAGGGGCTGTTAGTCAAACACACAGACCTCAACACAACCACAGGGCTGACAACCTGCAGAGGTGTCATCAGAGGCACTGATACAAGCTTGGCCACCTTGCTGGCTGCTTCTCCTTGTGTGGTGGTAACGGGGACATGCCAAGGAACCAGCTGGTTTGCCAAGCTGCACAAGAGCACTTGGCTGTGCCCTTGGCTCCAGAGAGAGCACAGGTTCACCCTGTGTGTGCTCCCCAACAGCCCTCTCGTTGCCTCAGAGACATGGTTTGTTATCAAACAGAAGCACTGAAGTGAAAGGTGTGTGAAATCCATTGGGAGAGATGATTCATTATCCAAAAGTACCTTCTAGGATTTTTCCAAGGGAAAGGAGCCATTTTAAGGCCACTGGCTTTGTAGGCAGGATAACAATGTGCTGTTGACACAGCCAGCTCCAAATATAATGAAACTGTAATAAATAAATAATAATTATCTATTGCTAGAGGAAACTCTTAAACATTATTGTCTGAAAGTCAACACTGTCAGGTTGCAGACAGTGTGAGAGATGTGTGACAAAATAAAAACAGCCCTTTTCTCAGGACAGACTGCTGACTGAAGTATATTCTGATCCTTTCCTTGTAAGTAAAACAAAAAATGTTGTTCTTATGATTTTTTTTTCAAAAGGTTAGAAGGAGGTCTTAAAATCTAGCTGCAGAAGATACTCTAAGAGAATCACAGCTGTTCTGTCTGGAAAATTAAAAATATCATTTTGATAAAATAGCTTTAAAAAAAAGTTAAGAGTTGGTTGTGCTTTAACTACTGCCCTAATTCTGAGAGACCAACCAGTGTGGAGCACTGAAAACCCACATACAGGAGAGTGGATTTTGACAAGTTCCTAATCCCAGAATCATGGAGCAGCCCAGGTTTGGAAGGGACCTCAAAAGGTCCTCAAACCTCTCCTGGAAAAGGGAGTCTAAGGAGATTATCTAACACCCTGTGCTATTACCTTTAGAACTTCAGCAACAGAGACCTTGCTACACCCCTGAGGAGGTTGTGCCAATGAATTGCTTTTCTTGCTGTAGAAAGTATCTTTCTTATAGCAAGATAAAATGAAAGAGCATGGTGTGGAGACAGCATGTTGCTTCATATATGAACTGAATGTTCCAGGAAAGAGGTAAAAATGTTATTTATGGTCATTATTCAAATGAAGAAATCAGATAAAACCCCTTACTGGAAAGTATGAATGACAGTCTGAACCACTCATGAAGGAGGGAAAGTAAGGCAAAGGAATATTTCAGTAGCAGATGGTGGTAAAATGATATAATTTTATCTGTAGTTCTACCTTTCAAAGGTTATGTAGATCAAAATATAATCAAGCTGCTGAGTGCACAGTTCAAAGCAGGAGGAGGCTTTGCTGGTTGCCTTCCTCACTCCTTAGTTCCTTCCCAGTTATGTTTTATTATGTTGCTCACATTCAACATGTGAACAACATTCATTGGAATACTCATTGAAAAACAGTGCTTATAAAAAACCAAATTATAAATGACACTCATTATTCTACCCTGCTTGGTTGCAAATTGTTTAGATATGCCAATTTTGACCACAGAGTTGAATGTGATACATAATCTGAGAGGTTTTTGAAACTCCTGCAATAGAATGTTCTGATAATGGTGACATGGTGACATGGCAGAGTTCTGTAGTTCTCTACTTGCATTTAATGAATATATATATATATACAAACATAGCCCTAGCCCATAGCAGGGCTCAGCTAGACATCAACACTGCTACAAATTGAGAATTTCCATCCTCAATATCCAAACAACACACATCTTGTTCCTCAAACACTAAATACTTTTGAGTGGAAAGGTAGAATACTTGAGGTTAAAAAAATTATTTTTTCTTTGTTGTGCAAGAGTGTGGTGGGGTGATGAAAACTTCCCAGTAATGACAACGAGAAGCTTCTCTCTCTTCTGACACCTGAGATTCTGGATGGGGGGATTCGAGCAGCTGGGCCTTTAAGACACCAGGTCAGCTCAACTAAAGAATGCTGCTTCCCTGGAATTCCTTCTCAAAGCTGAGGGAACAGCACAGTGCTCATGGTACTCACTGGAGAGAGCTCTGTTCTTGTTTTCTATCCACAAGGGCCCTTCAGTGCCTCTGAGGTTCCCAGTTCTTGTGGAGTACAACCAAACCCTTGCAAATCTATTCTGAGCACTCTTTACAACC